CTACACATGGAAGCACGTTAAGCAAAAGTTCCTTCTATTTCGTCCTCAACCATTTGAATAGAGATTGCTACCATGTAAAAATGGGTAGGACTATATTTTATGGACGACCTTTGAACGAATTTTTAAGTGACCTTGAAACTATTAGACAATCAGTGGAGAGTTAGTATAAAGTAAAAACATATTATAAAAAACTTATGGAATACAGCGGATATTCTTCTTTTACATGACTTATAAACTTTTCAAATTTAGATAAAGTTTCAGATGTCCTGAAATCATAGTGTATAGGGTTAGGGTTAAGGTTAGGGTTTAGAGTTAGGGTGCACAAACCCAAGTCTATGGAGGCGTCTATACGCTTTCCAATCATCGGTATATATCGTACTGCCAGGTTGCACGTACTGTAACATCTGCAAAAGCTGCAGCCAATGCTACTGGTGACCCCATTATCGAATTTGCAACAATTATCATGATTTGCTTTAGTCTGAGTCGTGATCGCGCGAAGAAAGTACAAGTTCGAGCAGATTTTTTCCTCCAACATTTAGTACAGCGAAATATAATGCCATCACTATAGTCTGCACATCGTTCTGCAGTCATTTGATTGCCACAGTCACAGATACAGGAACTTCTTAATAGTCCCATCTGTTGTAGTCGCACAACAATCTCCTCTTCTCTAAAATCTGCTGTAAAACGATCGAATGTGAGAATCTCGCATCGGACTTAGCGCCGTGACCTTGAAATTCCTCAAACGCTTCTGATTGGCTCGTCCATAAATTAGAGTCTTACCCAAAAATGTATCTTACTCATTCTTGAATATGACATTTTAGTTTACAGTAACTGCAGACATAATAAGCTGATTATAATTGAATTTTCACCGAAGCTAATTTGTGGTATTCCGACAACAAGGATTATCAGCGAAAATGTCAGCAACTTTCGTTATAACCTCTCTGAATCAAACGCATCAAATCAAGCCTTGTCTTTACCTACCGACTTATTAACGGTATTTTATGCTCTTCAGCATCCACGCATTCCTACTCTATGACATCATCCCACGACCGAAGTAATAAGGAAAATATTCTAGTGATTCCCAAAACCTACACAAACTAACGCCGGAATCTTTTCGTTATTCGCCTCTCAATTATGTGGACAAACTACCAGTTGAACCCCGTTACAGTGAAACTATAAACCGGTTCAGAAGTCTAATAAATAAAAGTCGATATTTGATTATCCTATGCAATTAATTAAGACTTTCACAGCATCATTCTAAACAATTATTGCCCAAACGTTTATACTAATATCAAGTTTTATTCTGTATTCTATCACACAAATTTATGTGTATTTACCCGAGTGCATCTGTTGCTTGAATGAACTAATGATTCTTTTGTACTTGTTGAATGATTGATTTCGAATTCTTAATACAGTACATTCGTTCGTGCTTACCTAGTACTTCTTGATCCGATAATGTTATTTCTGGGATTCTTAGTTCATACTATAATTCAAATACTTCTAATATTCACAGTGCACTTAAAATATTTTAAAAAATTAATGGCTCACTTAAGAGATAGATATTAATTACACATTCATTGGCATGGTTGAACGTTGTCACTAGTTACTCATTTCATTTCCATCTCACTCTTTTCCATCTTAAAAATATTATTATTAAGTATCCGAAGTTTTTAATTAATCTTGTGTCACAATTAAATAAACTGTTTTCAAATTAATTTAATCTTCTTGCTTACTTACTTACTTACTTACGCCTGTTAATCCTCGTGAAGGAGCATAGGCCGCTTACCAGAAAATAATTTAATGTTCACCATATCTATATTACTTATACATTTTGATATTTGACTATCCTTTGAAATTAACTGAAACTTCCATAGCATTACTTAAACTATTACTTCACAAACACTTATTCCATCGTCATATCTTGCTGCAATATTATTTTCTTATTTAGTTACATTATTTCATTTATTTTTGTTATTCATTTGGCGATACATACATAATCGTTCACTCTTGTTCCGTATTTACAAGCACGATTACTGAATTATTTACGTATTTCGCGTTACTTTTCCTTATTCCTCTATTTTCTCCCTTCTTTGAAGCAAACTCTACGATTTTTCGAATTAAAGAGAACCTGATTTAATATTATTATTTTACTATCATTCTTTTCTTCTTTTTCTTCTTTTCAAATATGCCAAATATAATGGCTACATTATTGAAACTTGTGTTTGATTGCATTTTCGAAGAATCCCTAAGTGGTTCCTTCACAACACTTGTGTATCCTTATGTTTGTAAATAATAAAGAGAAGATTTATCAACCCCGTAACACGACGACGACCGTAGTCGAAAATACATATTTATATATTGATTTGTACATCCATTTCAATTATTAATTAGTACGAATCACATATATGAAAAATACTTAGAAGTATCCCATGCTACATGTCATACTGTGCATGGTTTATTTCAATTGAATACAAGAATATCGTATGTCATACAGAATAAAATATCATAAGGGAAACAAAACAAATACTACGCAAAGCAATTATCACACTGAATTAAGAAGGAAGTAACGTTAAATAAAATATTACAATGAGTAAATCGATCTAATTTGGATTTTTCTTCTCGTCATATCAGCTTGACCTGGTAAAACTACCACACCACTGTAATCTTCACATTTAAAGATTTTGAGTTCTTGAATAAAATTATGGACTCTATACTGCTTGTGTTAACATTTGAGTTCTTTCATGGCATTCGAAATTTCTATAGTTTAAGTGATTTACCAGTAGTTATTTGAGTTTCATAGCGAAGTAAAAAGGCTTATCTGCAGCCATCGTTTCCGACTACTGTAAGATAATAAGCAACGGTTGTATCATTTCTAACATTTTTCCTGATCATACAACAGATTTCAAACCTGTATATGTAATCTTCGAAAGATTCAGAATTTGAGTGTATATCCAAACGTTCAATCGCAGAATCCATCTCAATGTCAGCATGTTGTAGTGACTCACATTTATCACGAGGACACGACTGGTTTAATAAAAATAATTATTATTATAATCAACTGTACCAGTGTTTGTTTTAACGTGCTTTTGTTTGACTGTGCTAATGACAGCTATTTTGTGCTTCCATTCTTATACTTACACTTTGATTGTAACTTCGCGCGAATTCGGTTACGTTCTGTAACCAAGCTTATATCCTGGCACGATCTCGGTATCATTTCGATGCCACGAGATCGCCAGCAAATATAACTCGACTTGGTCCATTACTTGCCTTCTGATATTTGGCTTCTCGGAGATTTTATGGGTTTCTTTGGTTACGTCCAACCTTCGCCTTCTGATTCGCTTGGCATGTGTTTCTTGGTAGCGGTGTTCATAGTTAATCTCAACTTGACGCCATGCTACAATGTTATTGAAATTATTTAAAATGATTTTCTAATAATCCTCGAAATGGTACAAGTTAATACAGGTATGCTTAAATCAACACAACTGTGCGTATTATATTTAGAGTTCATAATAGCACAGCATAAATTACAAAGAAACAAACAGCTGGTACAAATATAACACAGATCTAGGTCATCTTAGATCACCGATGTAGTTGACCCCATTTTGATGATCGCGGTCTACTCAAGCTGGACATTACTGTTATAACCTTTTAGCCCACGTCGAAGCCGAATCACACAAGTATTACCTAAACAGGAATATCTATTCGTGGTATCCAGGTACTTTGGTTGCTACATAGAAGGAACCCGAGCTCACTAGAGAATTGCCTTAGTAAAGAAAAAAATACAGAGAGAGATAGCGAACTCTGTCGCTTGAACCAGGCAGTGGCGTTCAATTGACCGGTTTCGCCCAAGCTAACCTTGAACATGACAATGTTGGACAAACCATCAAGCAAAAACTGATGGTACTAACAAAAAAGATACTATATTCCTTCAGAACGTAATCAGGTAAATAAAGCATCTCAAGTGAATACTGTCAGACATACCTTCATGTCAGATGAAAAAGAATCTACAACAGCGACAAAAACATTAGAGAATAACAGAAACACTACTGAGTATCCAAAGCTGACGGTAAAGTATTAGTGTATTCTCATTTCAAAAAACGTGAATGCGATACTAAAGACTGTAAGAATTTAAAGCTAATAGGACACATGTGATATGAGGTTTAAGATTATTTCATGAAGAAATTATGCGATGGTAAGAATGTCTACAAAATAAATAGTTCTGTAAGTTCTCGACATTGATGAGGATCTGATTAGCTTTCACAGACACAGTTAACTGAAGGCGCTCGGTAACGTATGTGCACCAGATCACGAAAAGGTACGCCGTACTACATAACCCTTGCAAATGCTAGCCAGTCTAGACACAACAATTCTCGACATACCGACAACCTTCCAACTATACTTTTGAACCACTTCATCTCTAACTTCTGATTTGACCGGGTTGGCATACTTTACTATAAATGTGCTACTGGTAAAATCGCTGTCAAAATTAAAATACATATGGCATGTTTAAGTACAGTGAAAGGATTTTATTACGCAAAAAAAATAATACAGCGTTCACTTTGTTTTGTAATTCACTTGCACACACGAAATATAACGGAAAAATTTCAACGTCCAAAAGGCAGTGCAACCATGGTGACGTGCTTAACTCCAGATAATCCAATTAAAACCAAATGGTAACACTTTCAACCCTTTATAAGGACTTTAGTAAAACATGAATGGAATATTGTGTCACATGAAACATAGCTGAGTATCTAGAATATCGGAAAAGAGATCACTTCGTGCAGGGATTCTCAAGACATTTGCAATAAATTATGACTACATTTAACAAACCCCTTAAAATATATTGATTGGATGGCACCGATCACATCAGTGAGTCTGAAGTTTTATTTCCAAACAGAAACGTCAACGGGTACATACCTAAAAGATGCGCAACTCATAGATAGGTGGTATTTTGATATTGTACATTGAGAACGTTTCACATCATTTATCGCGCGTGCCCTGAATTCGCAACAAATATGGGGCGGTGAGTTATTGAGTGTTAGCTTTTGTTTCTATTTTTACGTTCAGCTTGAAATGTTCATTTAAATATATTGTTTGAATGTTATTTTAAGTACCATTAACTTCAGTCTAGCAGGATATGCAGGACAGATTGTCACGAACCGACCGACAGCATCACACTTTCGTGATATATGTGTTTACCGTTATCAAACTCCAGTTTTGTTATTCATTTGTAGCTCTAGGCATAGTCGACCTAAACATATCAACCCCCTGGTAGCATTCATATTTACTAACCTACGGGTTAAAATAATAAACACTACGTCGGCTTCCGATTGATAGACGGGTCAAAGGTCTGCGTAAGTTTGCTGTGGTGTTTTTACCGAGAAGCTTGTTGGCTGAAAAATCACACTAAATTGCCATTGCAGTTGGCTTTCTGAGGTGATTTTCGTCTGGGAAATAGTTTTCGTTCAGTTCGGACATTTGCTTCCGGAGAAAGAGAGAACTATAAAAATCCACTTGTTTATCAACCCAAAATTTCCCCTACCTTGATATAATTGTGATTGGCATCAGTGTGTTAAATAAAGATGTCTTAACACTATTTTCGTCAGGTGGGAAATGACCTAGTGGTTCATGTACTCAATCTTAAAACAGCGGGTTGGCTCTCCGAGCTCCACTTTCTTTACTTTGGTTTACTCTTACTATTACAATGTATGGATTTCTGTTCTGAATTAATATATTCGTTTTGAAAGGTATTTTACATGGTTTTATCGTTGGTTATGTGTTGATTGTTTCGCTGTAGTTTAGTGCTTGTAATGACTATAATAAACCTCCATATTTAGAACGTGATGTCATCTGGCTTTCAGAAATAAGTTAGTTTCTGTGTACAGTAATATGGGACAGACAATCCAAAAAGACGTTTCAATCATCAGTAAAAAACTCGTAAGAGAGCAGATACAAGGTGGGGTGTCTCAACTTTCTACATAGTACATTTGCCTGGTGAATACGTAGAAAGTATCCTTGTCATCGCTCCGGCTAATCTTCTAGAAAGGCAGTAACATTGCGTCTTACCGTGTTTCTTAATTTCTGGATTTCCGCACTGTTTAGTATCCCTAGTCGAGTTTAAGTAGTTCATGTATGCTGGTACTCAATTCTAGTTTTAGGACTCAAGTCACTCTAAGATATATATCGATAACTCCACATCATTTTCAATGCGCTTGTTAGTATTCGAGCAAGATATTTGCTCACTGAGTGTCATAGTAAAAGCCTATCAAAAAACTTCGGTGACCAACTCTTTTCTTCGACCTCTTCATAGTCTTTTTCTGTGATGCATATTGTTTTGGCACCGACTTGCTCCAATGTATTGTTTAAATAATTAAATAGATCAAGACACTACACCTATTCCTTTATACCATTATGTTCTGACCACTGCATCAATATGATATGATTCTCAATTTATGCAACAATGGAATTGTCAGATGTAGTGGTATAACAGAGTCGATGGGGCGTCCTGAAGTCACTGTCAATTCAAATTCAGTCGTAGCATCGTAGTCAGAATGTCCTGGAAATTCTCTGCTTTCAAGCTCATTACACAATATTCAGCTGTGTCCACGACTCATACACTAAATCAAACTCTACAAACCACACATCAATCTCACGTGAATCAGTCAGTCAGTCAGTAACAACGTAGAACTTCGTACATACGTACATCAGTTCGAGTTGCCACACCACATTAGCACAGAGATGCAGTTGTCGATTCAAATCCCGTGGTGGTAGAGGTAGTAAGAGTATAAGCAGTAATCGGAAAGATTAAGGTTTGGAGATGTTATTTAAAGAGTATAACCCAGTGAAATGAATTTGGGAAGAGAAAAAAAAGAGACAAGGAGGAATCGGGAGATTAGAATTTGTGAGAACACAAAGAGTGTATGCACCTGCGCCATTGCAAACGATTTTGAGCCATGTCATTCAGGGTCTCTAACCATCGGTTGCTATTATCTCGTGGTCCCCAACCAGGTAGTCTACACCTACCAACATGACTCAGTCCACTTGTCAGTGACTTCATGGACTTGTGCCATGTTTTGGTTTGGCCGCCCCTAGCTTTCTTTCAACCTACTCCTATACCACTGAACATAGCGCGTCGAGGTAGTCGGTCGTTGGGCATACGTAACACGTGTCCCAGCCATCTCAACTGATGAAGTTTCACTACTTCATCAATTGATTTGCCATCCTTACCTAGTACCCGTTTCCTAACAACTTTGTTACTTACCCGATGGTCCCATGATATACGAGCAATGTTTCGAAGACACCTATGATCAAATACTAGTAACCTACGAATATCCTCTACTCTTACCAGCCATGTTTCACAGCGGTAAATTAGGACGGAACGAACTGCTGCGCAGTAAACACGTCCTTTGGTTGATAGACGGATATCTCGCCTACGCCATAAATGACGCAAGTTGGCAAAAGCTAGTCGAGCCTTCTGTATCCGTGCTGAGATTTCGTCACACACCAGACCACAAGGGCTGATGAGACTTCCAAGATAAGTGAAGCGGTCGACACACTCAACTACTTCACTCCCTATCACTAGTTCGGGTGTCGATGTAACCCAATCCTGAAGCAACATTTTGCATTTCGAGGGGGAGAACCGCATCCCGAACATGCTTGCATTGTTGCTTACGGTGGTCAGAAAACTTTGCGTTTTGTCAGTGTCTTCACTAAACAGAACTATGTCATCGGCATCTTCTAAGTCAACAAGTGAATCTCCTGGTAGAAGTTCAACTGGAAATTTTGATAGGGGAAGTGTTATTTATAAAAACACGTCAAGGACAATGTTAAATAAGAATGGAGAGAGTGGACACCCCTGACGAACAAAACTTGAGGTAATCAATTCTGATGGCAGTTCGCCATAAGCTCTCACTCGACTAGTTGTGTTCGAGTAGAGAGCCTTTACAAGGTTAATGTACTTCTTTGGTACTCCTTTCAGTGACAAACACTGCCATAGAACCTCACGATCACCAGAGTCGAATGCCGTCTTAAGGTCGAGAAATAATACGATTGTGGGGCGCCTGAATGTGTGCCTGTGTTCTAGAACCTGACGTAGTGTGAATATCTGATCTATACAACCACGTCCAGGTCGAAAACCAGTCTGGTTTTCTATAATCTCTTCACGAGCTTTGATTAGGCGTCGAATTATTATTGAAGCTAATATTTTAGACATTATATGAGTCAAACTGATTCCTCTGTGATTGTCACAAGAGGACATTTGTCCTTTCTTATAGACTGGCACAATCAGTGATTGAGACCAGTCAGATGGGATTACGTCCAGTTCCCAAATTCTACTTAAGACCTCGGTTAATCTCGCTGCTAATACTGGACCACCATTCTTAAAAATCTCAGGAGTAAACCTGTCAGGGCCTGCTGCTCTCCCTCGTTTCAGATTTCCTATGGCTTTTTCAACTTCGTAAAGGGACGGAGGACCTGCATTAACTTGCCATTCAGGTTGACCGGAGATCGTGGGAAACCGAAGTGTGGATGAAGGCCAGTTGAACTGATCCCCAAAGTGTTCTGCCCATCGATCCAATCTCCTGGATTGAGAATGTATAATATGTCTTTCTTTCTCTGAGAGTGTTTCGCTAACAGTCGGGTTCCTTATTCCGGTTTCCTTAACGAGTCTGAACAATTGTCTGCTATTACCTATTGCCGCTGCCTTTTCCATCTCTCTTGCTTTCGCTACCCACCACTGTTCACGATCATTGCGTAGACTTCTTGTCAGCTTGCGCTTAAGCTGACTCCGCTCTTCATTATGTTCAGAGTCAGGTGGAATGAGTTTCCGAGCATCTATCAGTGAGATAGATGCTGCTGAGATCCAGTGTTGCTGCCTAACCTTCTGGTTTACCTTACTAGCAGATATCACTGCTGTTTCCATAGCTTTTCGGATATCATTCCATGCTGCCTCGGGGTGGGCATCACATACATGGCTGCCTAACTGTTTTCCTAGTTGTTCCTGAAATATACTCTTAGCTTGACTATCATTAAGTAGGCCCCTAAGAGGTTTCCTTGAAGCGTCTTTCCTACGTCCAGTAAGACGCAAGCAAATACGCGCTCGTACTAGAGCATGATCTGAATCTAAGCATGTGCTCCAGAATGAGTGACAGTCTTCTATCGAGCCCCTCCATCGGTGGCTGATAGCGATGTGATCTATTTGGGTCCAACGTTGGGACGAATTAGGGGGTCGCCATGTTAAAAGATGTTTTTCCTTATGCTTAAAGTTAGGAGGTGTACGAAGGATTTGAATGTGACCAACTTGGTCTCGTGTGCTGTTACGGGTATGAGGGCTGATGTCACTTCCCGGCTGACCCACAACGTGGGAGGGTATTTCTCGAGGAACCTGGAAAGGAAATTGGATTAGTGTTGGTCTTGACGACCTGGGAGCGTGACCGCAGAGCCCAAGGGACATCTGCTTGAGGCCGGTCGCGCACAGCCTTTTTGTGGAAGGTTTTTGACGTGTTAGCTCCGTTCTTCAAAGGGCCTTACCGCCGGAGACGGAAATCCGTGAGGTAAGGTGAGGTGTGACATTTCTAGGGTCGACCTCTTCTAACCCCTTCCTTCCTTGTGAGAAGGAAGCATCGCTGCTGATGCTGGTTGTCCGAGGGAAACACCTTACTGCTGTCACACCCCTCTACAGTCAGCAGTACGACTTCGCCCTCAGACCTTGAGTTGCTGCTTTTAGTCTTACCGTTCACCAATCGACCTGCCTGGCATGGTAGAACCTACAGGAACATATGTTCCAGCCAATATAGCTCGGTTGGGTCATCACGATAGGCAAGCCCGACCACCGCGTCAAGGTAGTAGCTTCGGTCGGGTCTCACGTGAATCATTGGCTTCGGACACGTCGGGTGCTAGCATCTTTATAAATTAAATCGCGCAACATGTACTTCGTTCAAAGAGGGAAAAGTGAAGTTTATTACTTTTATTTCATGTCAATATCCCGATTGCAACGAAAAAAGAGAAACACAAACATAATTTGTTATAGGATTGAAGAATATATGAAGCAAATTGAAAGTTTCATCTTTTTGTCAGTGTTACGACGGAAGGATTGTATATCATTCCGTGATGGTACGACGCCTAAAAATTAGGCCCAACAGTTCGCTTTTAGTTGCTTGAAAAATTAGTGACGTATAAACTACTTACCTCTAATGACTGCCATGAGTTTTATCTCACCAAATATGCGAAACGTCCTTCATAACAGTACTTTGACGGGAAGTTAATTTCCTTGTAATCTAAATCGCTTCATTTACCGGTGAATGAGGATTTGAGTTAACATTGCTAATAAACATGAGTTTTTCATCCAGTGTGATATGTCATTTGTTTCGTAAAAGTTATCAATCTCCAACTAGTTAATGTAAGCTTTATCTTCAAATATATCCAGCTCGTAGCTTAGTATAAAACACTAACATTTATTAGAAAAAGTACATATGACTATACATGATTATTGTGCTCATTTGTGTTTGAATTAATGATGTTTTCCATTCATGAGGTTGAGGTCCACGTATTCGCTTTTGAGCCACAATGTATGCTAGGGTTAGTGAGGTCGAAACCGAAACAGGTGTAGCTAGGTTTACACTTGGTACCCACTGGTTGAAAGCTGAGTGCTTTAATAACGAGGCTACAATTCCCCATTATCTAACACAAGTAGAGCGATGCTCAGAAACCCAAATGCAAGGTATCTATATTTATTTCAATTAAAACCCAAGAAACAAACATTAGCGTCTCAAAGCCCTCTAAAATTTCGTTGCTGCGAATACGTTACAGTTAGGGTAAATTAATACCGTTCAGCTGTTGTGCTTCCCGTTAATGAATTCTATCAATTCAAAATTATAAACAGAATCATAAATCGCCTAAGCAAACATCTGGGACAAGTTATTCAATATAATTAGGGGAAATTTTTAAAAATTAGATTGCAAACTGAGTACAAATAATTCTCATCTCACTGTCGGTAAAAGCTTAAGGCAACAAACCATAAATGAAGTCAAAATGAAGAAGAACTCTTGATGATAGAAACAGTCAATAGTTAAAGTGTAAGTCGGGATTATGATGAAACAGAGAAATTTTGTTGTATTCCTACAGAAAAGTATGTTACTTAACAAATAAAAATGAAAAGTAGCATGGACATATTTTTGTTGCTTTGTTGAATGCATAGTGTTTCTGAGAAGCTTCCCATTGCTTAAATAAACATGTTCTAGTTTTTTGGCCTAAACTACTTTATTTTCTATGCGCTTATCTATCATGTGTTAAGTTTAATTATGTCTGATAATTACTGCTTTTTAGACGTCGAGATGACGATCATTCGCGTAACAGAAAACGTCGGTCGCGATCTCGTTCCCGCTCTCGTTCTCCTGTTCTTCCTAGGAGGGCATTTTCATCTACTTTAGAAGGGTCTCTACCTTTAGCTGCTTCGTTGCCAACATCTTCATTAATGGGTTCGTTACTAGCTGCTCAGGCAAAAGCAGCTGAAGAAGCGGCTGCCAAAGCCAAGGCAGAAACGTCTAAACCTGCAGTTGGTACTATGACTGCTATTGCGAATGCAGCAGCTGATATGATCAAAGCTGCTCGTAATTCTGGTCAAGGTATCGCAGGTATGGAGGGTGCTCTTGTCATTACTCCGAATATGGACAAAGATATTGAACAGCGTCGTCTTGATCTTGAAATGCAAAAGGTAGGATTCAACTAACGAATTCTGTTTTTTTTACCACGATATCCCTTAATTTACGACTTTATATTATAGAGACGAGAACGAGTAGAAAGGTGGCGACGAGAGAGAAGGCTCAAACAAGATATTCTTGCAGCACAACAGAGACTTGCAGAGAGCACCAGAGGAACTACTATTAATAAGTGGAATCTAGAGGATGATGAAGACGAAGAAGATGCAAATAAAAAGAATGTTCAGATGGAAAAATCTACAGAAGATGATGACGTAGATCCACTGGATGCTTATATGCAGGTGTGTCCTCGTAATGAACCCATGTTCTGTTTTTTTTAATGTTCGTTGTCGTTTGCTTTTGAGTGATTTGTCACGTGACTACAAACAATTAAGGCTTTTTATAGATAGGGATTCTATGTATCTTGAATTCTTCGGATACATGAGTTTTTTTTAGTGTGTATTAAAATCTAATATACAAGATTCTAAGTCGTGTAACTGTTACTTGACAATTGAAAGCTAGACGCTTGTAACATTTTCGTATAATAGTTTTCTTCACTTTCATACAAGATAGCCAGTGATCGTTTCTTTTACAGTTTGAACAGTTACAGTTTGTTGCCATAACACATTGTTTTATATTCACCAATCCACTAAGGATCAGTTCGACATCTTATTGTTCATATATTTTAGGTATATAAACACGGCTCGCTATTCACAATCTACAGCTTCTGTCTTGTTTCCTTTGACCGTCTGGGTTCAAATTTTGTGCTTGTAGCGGTTATGGTGAATTATATATTAAATACACGAAATATTTGTTAATTATAATATTTTACTTTATCCCAATAACGTAATATCTGTAAACGTACATTTGTGTACATAATTCTTCCTTGCGAATTTAATAGAAATATTACTTGTTGAAAATGGATATCATTTAGATAATGTTAGATCATGTTTTTCAGATAATACTGTCTTACATTTTATACATATATAGTCATTAGTATAGAATGTTTGCTGTAAAATAAAGTAGTAACACAGTATCACATATAAATCTCTGGTATCTAATATTCCGGCGTACTTATGGACCTTCACCCAAGGTGTCATTTTTCAGTCCACTCAAACGATGAAGGACAAGCAAAGATCTGAGCTTTATCGGAAGTTAAGCATTTCAGGAGTTCATACTTCCATCATGGATCGTTGATAGAGAACTATCGAACCCTAAGTCATAATTGTTCGTTTCCTGGAGTTAGTTACTTAGTAATTATACCTATTAATATTGTTTTATGTCAACTTGATATGTTCGTGTGCTAAGCTACTATTTTGCAACTCCAGCAGTGGAGGCTGCTGTTATCTTCTTCCCTGCCCGCTAACTAGAATAAGTTCAGTAATTTTATAGAGGCTCTGTCGATAAATACCAGTAGAATCCAAAATATATTTTAGATAATCGGTTGTATATCAATTATGATGACCATAGTTTAGGAACTAAGTAATTTTCAGTTAACACAAATCATACTGAAAAATTCATTAAAAGGTCTATGGACAGAATAAATTAATGTAATGAAAATTCATCTCAAATCAATATTGATTTTCTTTCGCCCAAGTTGTATTTGGGAATTCACCACCTCCAACAGAGCCACCGTGTTTAGTGATGTAATGCTGCTTGATGTATCTCCCATATTGTGCTAGTCTGTCTTTTATGAAGGACTAAAATGTAATCCTTATAGTTACAGGCCGCATAGTAGAACTTCTGGGAAGTAAGTTTTATTACATTTCCTTACAGGGTAACAACGGATGCCTCAATCTACCAATCCCTGTGGTTCAATGACCCGGTTCATTTTGGACGAGACAACTTTCTATATTAATTTCAATGGTTTGTGGAGTATTGCCGTTTATAAAATTGTCCTACCTTCAAAGTTCGTCCAAGAATCATTTTGTATGTATGATATAACCAGCTCATATGTTTGGACTTTCACTGAGTATAATCAATATCAAAGGACAAGTGTTATCCGGAGTCGATCCCTATATCAATTCTCATGAAACTCAACTTATAAGGTAGTTTCTGGTGTCTTTGATAAATAATTATTTTCAGTTTCTGCACCCACTCCTATAGGTTTCCTAGGAAGGCAGATAATGTTTTCCACTTATTAGGATTAATCCACTGTTTTTTCTGCATTTCAGGAGTTGAATAATCAAGTTTCCGCTGGTCCTGAAACTACTAAAAAAGATACTAAAATTACTAAACAATCTGAAATTTCACTAAAAACTTCTAAAGATACCGATCACGCTTCTTCAGATCCTTCAGTCAAACCTAAACAACAGTTAGTAATTAAACGGAAAAGAATTATTGGGCGAGGTGAACTGATGGAAAGTAACATAGATGAATTAGAATATTCATCTGAAGAAGAAGACACAACAATTGAGGATGCATTGGCTCAGCTACAGAAAAAAGACAAACTTCAGCCTATTGATCATTCCAAAATTGAGTATTTCCCCTTTCGCAAAAGTTTTTATGTAGAAGTTCCAGAACTAGCAAAAATGTCAAAGGAGGATGTTAAAGCGTATAGAGCTAGTTTAGAAAATATCCGCGTCCGTGGTAGAGAGTGCCCTAAACCCCTACGCAATTGGGTCCAAGCAGGCATTAGCTCTCGCCTTTTGGCTTGCCTAAAAAGGTATGTTTTTTTCAATCATCAACATTTTGTTTATTCGGTAAGTTACACAAAACTATCACGATTCCATTCCCGTTTTGGTTACTGGTTTTCGTACTAGTTAATTATTTTCACATTAAACATGCAAAAACTTTATAATACTATGAATCAATTGCTTACTATGTGATTTAGGCTTAATAGTTGCATTTTTTGGTCATAGTTCTGACTTCTAAGTGTAATATGAATATGGTATGAGCCCAATTTTCCCTTGTTATAAATTTAGATGAAGTAAGAATAAGAATCATAGCAGAATAGTAAGAATCCACTTATTTCGCGAATTGTCTTCACCTGCTCAAAACCTAGAAACCATATCTATTTTTTAAAACGAATGCACATACTTTATATCAGTTATCAGAAAGTCTTCAAAGAAGATTAATGAACAAACAACAAATATCAGAAAATTATAAGAAGCGTTCATGGTGTTAAATATTTACGCGTTAACTAATGTGAAGATTTTAGAAAAGGATAATTAATGTCCAAAGGTTCGTAATAACAACGAAAAAAAATTGCAAGATTAACAGAATAAAATCAGGAAAGGTTTGAAAAGATACATGAATATAGGAATTCATAATTGAAAAAAAAACATTACAATTATTGTTCATTTTCAAATGTAATTCATACGATTGATCAGATATTTGTATCGATAAGCTATTTAGCTCGGTTTATTTTCACTCAAATAACGTTCATTTAATCCTTTTTCTCAGGAATAATTTCGATAAACCCACTCCAATTCAGTGCCAGGCGTTACCCGTTATAATGTCTGGTCGCGATATGATTGGTATTGCCAAAACAGGGAGTGGGAAAACCCTAGCTTTTCTAGTACCGCTTATGCGTCACTTGGAACATCAAGCTCCTCTAAACCCTGGAGATGGCCCGATCGCCCTTCTACTGGCACCTACTCGGGAACTTGCACTACAAATATTTAAAGAAACAAAAAAGCTATGTCAAGCCGCCGATGCTCGCGCAGTTTGTGTCTATGGTGGGACTGGTATTAGTGAACAAATTGCTGAACTTAAACGCGGAGCTGAAATTATTGTCTGTACACCTGGTCGGATGATCGATATGCTTGCTGCAAATGGAGGTAATGGTTTAATCTAGAAATACTCAACTATTTATTTCCACTGTTCATTATCACAGAAGTTCACCACATCATCAGACTTAGCAGTTCTCCTAGGCAACATGTTTATCACAAGATTTGATGATCATAAGTTCCGTCCTATTTGAGTTGCAGGTTCGTACAATATGATTGTGTATTAAATTGCAACTTGCTCACCCTTCTCGAATTAGCACTCATCGCTTATCCAGGTCTCTGGAGTCTCAAAAGTTTAAATGACTGTTAACTCTGTATTTCATGTTTTATTATATAAAATCTAACATTTCGTCATTGTCTGTTAAAATAACAACTTTTATTGGATCATTTCCAATTAATTATTGCTAAATATAAAATGTTTAGTTTTAATCTTTTATTCCACTTAGACGAAAAATTATTACGTGAGGTCGTTATTAGAAATAGTACACCTTCAATATTTCGAGGGTGGTATGTATGTTTGGTTAATATTTCCATATACATCATTTTTTTCCAAACTATTTAGTTCATTGTTCTTTTAACTGCATAATTTGTGACCTGACATTTTCGTTTATCTTTTCAAAATCTAGGGAGAGTAACCAATTTACTTCGGTGCTCTTATGTGGTTCTTGATGAAGCAGATCGTATGTTCGATCTAGGATTTGAGCCTCAAGTTATGCGAATCATCGAGAATTGTCGTCCTGATCGACAAACTTTAATGTTTTCAGCTACATTTCCTAGACAAATGGAAATCCTTGCCCGTAAAGTGCTAACGCTTCCCATAGAAATCCAAATCGGTGGACGATCGGTGGTTTGTTCAGACGTGGAGCAGCATGCGGTGAGTGAAATCATACAACTTTGGCCTATCGTTGTAAAATAAAACCCAATTGTAATATCGGGTTTGTAGCGCAATATTATTACCTTTCCACTGAGTGTGCTGAAGTAAAAGTTGAAATGTATATATATATATATATATATATATATATATATATATATATATATAGTTTTTCTAGTTTCTTAGACTGGGTTGCGTGAGAATGTTACAGCTTTGTACCTAGATTAGAAATGAAGTAAGTATTTTCTGAAAATTAGCAAGCATTGCAACATTTGTCACTTAATTATATCTGTCGGAGATAAACTTCGAAAATATTCCAAGTAGTTTATTCTTAATAGAATACAAAACACTAACAACAAGAAACTGAAATAACGCCAAAACATTACTGATCATAAAAATCCCGTAGCAGAACTCATAGTTTACACCTCTCTTAAAAATCGTTGGGTGCATAAAATTTCGTGTTGTCTCTTACTGTCAGATAGGTTGATCAATATATTAGTAGATGTAATTAATTAACCATAATATCTAACTTCTAGTTAATGTCAATTCAGTTTATGACTGCAATTATATTGTAAATAGATTTTAAACAAGACAATGGGTGATGGTCGCACAGCAATGCAAGGTGGCTGAAGGTAGAAATGAAAACGATTGTATACCAATTTAACGACCCTGAGATTAAGCGCTCTCCACGACGACTTAATTCTCGGTGTTCGGTCCGTGCTGGGTTTGCGAATTCTCACTGATGAGAAGTCCCATACTCAGACGGATCACCTATCCAGTCCTTTCTGTTTTTCAGTGATTGTATGACCAAAGTCAGTCCGTAACTTGAAAATTCAAATTCAGTTTTTTTATAATAGGGTTAAAACACGGCTATTCAGTAAGTCTAGAGTCTCATAATTTATTGTTTACATCAAACTTCTGTAAATGTTGTGTAATAGTTATCAGTCAGTCAGTCAGCTACAACGTAGGACCAGGCACATATGTGCATCGGTCCAGGTTGCCATACCGCATCAGCACAACAAGATGAACACCGGATTCATAGCAGTGGTTAGGTCAAAGGTGGTAATATATAAAAGAAAGATTGCAATAAGGATATAGTACAGGAAGAAAGAATTAGTTCGTAGAAAGAAAGATATTAAGCGATTTTAATCTCTTAGTTTAAGGGAAGACAGGGAGTGTATACACCGACGCCATTGTGATCGATTCTGAGCCATGTCACCAAGAGTCTCCAACCATTGGTTACGATAGTCACGCGGACCCCAACCAAGTAGTCTGCATCTACCAACATGGCTCAGACTAGAAGTTAGTGACTTCAAGGACTGATGCCACGTTTTGGTTTGGCCGCCCCTAACTTTCTTCCAACCATCTCCAATACCGGGTAGCGTTGCACGTCGTGGTAATCGGTATTCAGGCATACGTAACACGTGGCCCAACCATCTCAGTCGATGAGGATTCATAACCTCATCAACTGATTTACCATCCTTCCCTAATGCCCTGCGTCTAACCTCACTACTACTTACCCGGTGATCCCAGCAGACGCAAGCAATATTTCTAAGGCATCTGTGGTCAAATACTAATAGCTTACGAGTGTCTTCTACTCTTAATGGCCATGTTTCGCTGCCGTAAAGTAAAACAGAACGAACTGCCGCGCAGTGTACTCGTCCCTTTATTAATAGACGGATATCTCGCCTTCGCCATAGGTGACGTAAGTTGGCAAAAGCCAAACGAGCTTTTCGAATCCGTGCTGAAATTTCGTCAGACACCAACCGATTAGGGCTGATCAGACTTCCAAGATAAGTGAAGTTGTCAACGCGTTCGACTACTTCACTCCCTATCCTTAGTTCAGGTGTTAATGCAGACCAGTCCTGAAGCAACAACTTGCATTTAGAGGGAGAGAAGCACATTCCAAGCATTCTGGCATTGTTGCTCAGTGCTACCAGAAGACTCTGCATTTTGTCAGCGTCTTCACCAAACAGGACTATGTCATCTGCGTATTCTAAGTCGATAAGTGGACCTCCTGGTAGGAGATCAATACTCGAGAACTCAGTGCACGAGGAAGTTATTTCCATCAGTAGATCTATGATGAAGTTAAACAAAGATGGGGAAAGTAGACAGCCTTGACGGACACCACTTGAGATTGCAAAAGCAGATGACAGTTCGCCATAAGCTCTGACTCGATTGGTAGTGTTCGAGTAAAGAGCCTTCACAAGGTTTATGTACTTCTGAGGCACGCCTTTCAATGACAAACACTGCCACAGAATCTCGCGGTCTACCGAGTCAAATGCTGCTTTCAAGTCAAGAAAGACCACCATTGTCGGACGCCGATAAGTATGCTTGTGTTCTAGAACCTGACGAATGGTGAATATGTGGTCGATGCAGTCACGATCAGGTCTGAAGCCAGCTTGATTCTCTCGTGTTTGCAGTTCACGAGTCTTAGTTAAGCGTCTGATAATTATCGAGGCTAGTATTTTAGATATTATATTAGTTAAACTAATCCCTCTGTGGTGGTCACAGGATGATTTTGACCCTTTCTTATATATTGGGACGATAAGTGATTGTGACCAGTCAGATGAAATAACGTCTAACTCCCAGATCTTAGCTAAAATATTAGTCAACCTAATCGCTAAAATTGGACCACCATCCTTAAAGACCTCTGGAGCCAGTCCATCTGGACCAGCTGCCCTTCCTCGCTTCAGATTAACTATAGCCTTTTGAACTTCAGCAAGAGTTGGGGGACCTACTTCAATGTTCCATTCACACTGTCTGGGAATGGAGGGTAGTTGTAGAGTAGCTGAAGGCCAGTTGAACTGTTCTCTGAAATGTTCCACCCATCGTTCTAAACGTCTGGACTGAGAGCAGACGAGGGTGTCGTCGTTTTCCGAAATAGTCTGACTTACACTTGACTTATTAATTCCAGTTTCTTTTATTAGTCTGTAGAGTTGTCTTGTGTTCCCTATAGTCGTCGCTTTTTCCATCTCTTTTGCTTTCGTTGCCCACCACTGCTCACGGTCGTTTCTTAGACTTTTTCTTAACCTAGATCTGATTTGTTGTCGCTCTTCATCATGTTCGGAACCTGATGGAACGAGTTTGCGAGAATCCATCAGTGTGATAGACTTTTAGCTGCAGTCGGTGGGAGCGTATGCAGAAACGACAAAAAGGCAACGACGTGTGTCTCTATCGTTCCGAGTTTTTACGGAGCCGTTTAGCCGAACAGCACATAGACGACTGTTGACGGGGATCCACTCTAACAGTGCTTGTTCCGCCCTCATGTTTAGTGCTATGCCTACTCCTGCCAGTCCACGAGAGCTGGCCATCGCGTCACCAGATACACGGAGGGTGTATCTCGTTGGCGGAGGAGGAAGACGGAGGTTGATTAGGAATACAGTGGTCTTGAGTGCTGTTAGAGGTATGAGGGTGGTTATCACTTCCCGGTTGCCCACACTGTGGAAGGGTTAATTACTTCGTAGTTTTTTAACTAATCAATTCATATAATGTAGTTCACTTATTCTTCCTTTTGATTTCAGTTCATCTTGTCAGAAGAAGAGAAAGTTTACAAAGTTCTTGAACTTCTAGGAATTTACCAAGAAGAGGGTAGTGTCCTTGTATTCGTAGAAAAACAAGAGAGTGCAGATGAGTTAATGCGTGTTCTTTTGAAGTATGGTTATCCATGTCTTTCTCTTCATGGTGGCATTGATCAATACGATCGCGATTCTGTTATAATGGATTTTAAGCGTGGCAATATTCGTCTTTTAATAGCCACATCAGTCGCTGCTCGTGGTCTTGATGTCACAGATTTGCTTTTAGTTATCAATTATGACTGTCCAAATCACTATGAGGATTATGTTCATCGTTGTGGGTAAGTTTTATATGAATTTGTAATCGTATGTGCTGTATTTTAACAGCAGTTCGTGTTTATTATTTCTGAACATAATTATAGTGAATTTTCTTGACTACTGGATTCATTTTGGCAAAATTATTCTTTTGGATAATTAAATGATAATATTAGTCCATCTAATGGCCTTTCTAAATGCTATGATTTTGTCATCTTGTTTTTACTGCATCAAAATCTGATATTTTCAAACTAAAGGAGTGTATAACTTTTCTCTAGCATATCATTTATTTTTGGGAGTTCAGATTATTTTTTGTTCATAAATTGTTTAATCACACGACATATATTTTAAATAACTTACCAGATGCAGATATATGTACTTAATTCGGAGCACATGACTGGCTTTCAGTAAGATAATTACAGCAAAGAACATAAATAGATTTATATGTCTTATTTTTGTAGTTGTTATATAATACATGTGTTATAACGGTTGGTTTTTCACGTTTACACGTATGGGACGTTAATTTACCTTAGACGAATATCTCCACTAGATTCCCTCCCAGTGTCTATTTTACAGGACTTCAACATAACTCAAATCGAGAACACGTGATTAGCCTGACTAGAACCTAAATATATTTCCATACAAAACCCGACACAATCCAACAACAATGAACAATCAATAATAAGTGAGTAATAATAATAATAAGGATAGGGGAATATATAACTCATCTGACACCTGTTAGACTATCTACCTGTCTGATTAAGCAGATAACCAATCATTATCATTCTCGTCGACACATCAACATGGTCTTTCTTTTCATGGTTACTTAAAGATTTAATCTTTATAATTCATCGTTGTTCTTATATTTTAGGCGTACTGGACGTGCTGGTCGCAAAGGGTTTGCCTATACTTTTCTCACTCCCGATCAGGAGCGCAGTGCTGGTGATGTTGTTCGAGCATTCAAGCAGAGTGGCCAAAAACCACCAGAGGAACTAATGAATATGTGGAATGCTTACAAGATACGAATGGAACATGTGTGTTTATGTTTATTTGTTTGTCATTGTATGCATCAACTGTTTGTTGGTAGTCTTTTTATTTTAGTGTTGTTTACTGTTAACGTATGCCAGTGTACGTTAGTGGAAAGCAACTTGAAAATGTCTACTTCTCTTGAATTAAAATGTGTTCTGAAATTATTTATTTTACAATCGGTCCTCAGCCCTCATGCATTTAACTCAACGTGCTAGGCATGCATCAATAGGCAGCAACAAATGTTTACCATAAGTTATTTGGGAATGCCACTAAAGGTAGGATTTCAACATTTCATGGTTGACAGTTTCTCATCATCATTTGCAGCTGCGAAGAGGCATATTTCGCCTTTGCAATTGCAGTTTTTTGGGCACTAACTCTTGCACCTGTTGTTCTCGCTTGATTTGGAAAAGCAATGCTTTTAACCTTAAGAAGTAACCTCAGTATAGTTCCTCAATTTTGAAAATTATTTATACTCCAATTGGAAGTGGTATAAACTTGTGTATGAAAATCAAATGTTTGATGAGTTCTGTTTGTAAGGAGGAAAAATAAACATATTTCGCTCTACGTGTCTAACACTTTCATAGCCGCTTTGAGTAGCATCTGTATTTGTTTCCAAGGTTACCGTAAATTCATCCTCACAGTCGGAAAGATTGGTTTTAAGAAAGAAACTTGATTGCAGGCTAGAGATTTTCGTGTTGCAATCAAGCGTTTCTCATTCCTGTTTACCATAGTAATCGACGTTGTTTCTTAGTGAGTGTTCAATTTTACACAAATTATAAGTTTAGAGATATTACTATTTCTTAATATTTCCAGTTTAATGGAACTAAAGTAAACAACTAGATTTTAGTGTTTATGAGTTCATTTTATGTATTTCATTAACTATGTATTGATCTCATTACACTCAAATAAATCTGTTATCAGGAAGGAAAAAAGGTATACGGTTCTTCAGGTTTCCGTGGTAAAGGATTCATGTTTGATGAAGTGGAAGCTCAGCTGAATAGTGAAAAACGACGCCTGCAGAAAGCTGCTCTTGGTTTACAAGATTCAGATGACGAAGATGGTGATGGAAATGTCGATTGGGACTCGAAGATTGAAGATATGTTGGCCACGAAAACAAAAATTAAAGATGTATCAAAGAGTAATGCATCAGAAAATGTATCTGAAACTGTTGAAGTTAGGCAAGTTAACTTTCTAATAATATATGGTTGATTACAAATCAGAATTTTTATAATGTCAAGGATGAAAAAATGTGCTGATTAGAGAGGAAAAATGTATTTGTAAAATCTCAGCGAATGAATTTTGAAGTAAATCCAACGTTTCGCCTGGCAATCTGGTCCAAGCTTTTTCAAGGAAATATAATCAAACATCGAAATTCATTCGCTGAGATTTTACGGATACATTTTTCCTCTTTAATGTCTCACATTAACTCGACGCCCAAATACTGAAAATATCCGATCAAATTTAGACGAAAGTTCTTATTTGTATGTACTGATTGGTTTGATCTCCATGGAAGCTCCTAAACTCATAAAAATTAACATATCACAAACATTTAACCTTTTTAGCTTTTTTCTAAATTCAAAATTCTCCTCTAGACTGAAGAACACTAGTTTTTCACGAATTGGTTCCAAATATTTCCCCAACCAAACTGAGTTTCTGTATCGATATTAAATTTAAGTCTGGTGGGAAGTACCTCATTGAATTTCACTTGTTTTCATATTACCTATGTAATTCCCTCTATTTCTAAGGAAGTCTTCGCATTAATGGGTCGTAATAATCGATCGTATTACTTTCACACTAAGTCAGTCATATTTTTTTTGGTTTTTTGATTCACTTGATAATTATTTTCTTTATAGTTGTAAATACCAGAATAAGTTTTTTTCTCAAAAAAATTGTCTGGTTCCTTGTAAATACGATCTTCAATCTGATTATTAACATTTTTGAAACTACTTTGTGGAACGTAACTCATAAACTTCTGTATTTTCAATTTCAGTGCCCAAGCTGGACAAGCAGTTGTGAACGCAGCCTTAGCACTTGCTCGACAGAAGGCTGCACAGTTAGGACTCGTCAAACACTTGACTTCTGGTACTCCGACTGTTCCACAACCAAGCGCTGTTTTGAATACCACCACAGTCAGCGACCCTAATGCTACTATTGCGGCTGCGGTTGCTGCTGTCACGATACCTGTGCCTCCAGCTCCCACAAGCCGTACGTTGGCTGAACAAGCTGCCGAACGCTTAAATGCTAAACTTGGTTACACTAAACAAACACCAGGCGCTGGTGATGAGGAGGGTGCTGGTGCTAACACGAATTCGGGAAGTGACATGGTTAGAAGGTAAAATAATATTTTGCTTTCAACAAAATTATTTCCCATTTTAAAACATTTTATCTGCTTTGTATTATTGGTATCTCTAGTTTTCTATGTTCCTTTACACCGAGCAATCAAGCTTATAATATACGCACCATTATAAACTAACTTCTCGCAATCACTTCAGTTGAATTATTCTAGAGTTATCTTAGTGATCATTATCAATAATCTGATTGTCCAGTCCTGCGAAGAAACAAATGGATTCAAAAGTCGTCTTTCGAAAATTATACTATAACATGAATGATCTGTTTGATTCAATGTCTATCTAATGTAATCTCTAGTCACTCTCTTTATGGTCATAAAACTGACAAATGATTAAATCTATGTTTTTGACCTTCGTGAAATGTCATTGTAAATGCTTGATCATTCCCCTTAAATTGACATGACGTAAACCATAATATCCTCGTACATAGTGTTAAGTTCAAAAAATTAGTAGGTAATGGAAATTTATTCAACTCAGTGATTGCTTTTCACCAGCTCCCATTTCTTTTGACTATGATGTCTGTACCAGATTTTATTCAAATCAACTAAGTAAAGCTTATAAATAAATATATTTGTAACATCCCAATGAGTAGAAAAATTAAATCTTCTGACGTTTGGTAAGCCACTTCTTCAGAGAATAAATAACCAAACCATTGGGATATTACAAATATATTAATTTATTTATAACAATCTACCTAATGCTCAATTTATTCGAAATTATCAAATCAAACATTGGTAATGATAACTATAAGTAAAGCTTGTTCAATTGTTTCTATGGCTACTATTAAAATACATCCGGCTTATCTTGGTTTGAACAGAACGCTGTTATGCGATTAATTATGTCCGTAATATTGTTAAGATATGCGTGTTGTTTAAGTTGTATAGCAAAGTTTCTGATTATTAGTTGTTTTTACTGAGTAACACATTCTGTTTCCAATCTCAGTGGTGCAAATACTCATAAAGATAGTAAGACCATAAAAGATAGCAAGTAACTACAAACATTTTCTTGAAAATAAACAGATTTGATACTTGTAAAATAATTCCAGGAGCTTCAATACCATTCCAGATAAGCTCTGACAATGTTATCCGTAATGATGATAAAAAATTTACAAATGAACCACCTAACTCAGCAAAATTTATTTTTGTAAAACTTACCTACGCTACAAATTTACTCCATTTTACATGACAAAATTATCATCCAAGATCTGAATACTTCATTAACAACGAAGAAATCTGCACAAAAGTTTCACCAAAATATCACTTTTCAGGATCTCCAGGTATACTTCTTTGGTGTCACCAGTTTTTCGCAACTAGTGTAATCGTATCCATTATAAAACACGAATGTCAGATTTGAATTTTTTCGAAGAACATAATACTCGTGTTTATGTTTAATGGTACATTTTAAATTTCAGATACGAAGAAGAACTAGTTATCAATGACTTCCCACAAAACGTCAGGTGGCGTATCACTGGTCGCGAAATGCTCAACCACCTTAGTGACTATTGTGATGTTGGCGTGTCTGTACGAGGAGTTTATATGCCACCTGCCAAAGCTAAGCAACATATACCCGAAGGTACAGATGACAGACCACTGTACTTATGTATTGAGGCTGTCAACGAAAGACAAGTCGCTTTGGCTAAAAAAGAAATTATGCGTATTATCAAAGAAGAATTAGTCAAATTGGTATGTATTAATTCCCAGTTTATATTTCTCTATCGGCACATTAGATTGCTGTCTGTACTGTATTTATTAAGGTATTCACTTATTATTGACATCAAGGAACAATTGAGTAACCACCAAGTTCGCAAAGCTGGGAAATTCATTTAGATCTTGGAACCTTTAGTTGTATTCATAAATTTCTCTACTAAATAACTAGAATATAACATCTCCCACTTGTTTCTTACAGTTATCCAAATTCTACGTGCTCGTGTTTGTACAATCTCTGTCACAAGCGTAGCTTTCAGAGTTGATTATAGTAGGATAAAGCAAATATTTTAAATCAAATTATTGTCTCCCAATTTCTCTTTGCTATAGTGCTTGAAGAATTTTTTGATCTTATTCTGTTGTTCAAAGGAAGAAGAGCTTTACTGCACTACTTTTTTTTCACTTCCAAAACGCTTTTCGTAATATAGCCATTAAAAATTACGAATCTATCTACCTAAATTGGAAGAATTATCGTTCTCAATAAACTGGTTCTAAAATAAGGCCTTCAGTACACTGTTAAACTAAGTTGAAACCTGTCCGCTTTCTTGATTAAGTAGTTGTGAAATCATTCTAACAACTCACTCCTATTTTTATATATCAGAATCAACAATATTTACTTTATTAATCCAAAAAATTGTCAGGTTTAAAGCAAAATACATCGTTTAAAATTGTAGTGTGTGAGTGTATGAGTGTAAGATTAAATATGATTGTTAATGTTGAATATACAGTATACAGTGTTAAATTGAATAAGCTTGTACGTTAAATAAAGTTGTGAAATTAATGATCAGAATAAATATTGGTCCTATAGGATAAGAGAAATAATAATGCCACCACAAATTTGATCAAATATTTGGTGAACGACCATATCGTGTATAAAGTTCTATGAATCTAGTAAATAATAATAAAGTAGGGTGAGTGCTAGGTAAATTAGTCAGTGCTCAGGAGATTATTAGTGACGTCAAACAAATATTAATAAGTACAAGGATATGTAAATAAAAATTACGGAAGATTGTATGTACATTAGTCAAATTATATGATTCTATAATTAAAGATTACCATTGATTGTTGTCCATGAGGTTGACCAAGGTAAGAAATATGGGTTGGATATATTTGTTTTGTACGCAGTCATGCTGCTTCTGCCGTTTAAAGGATATCAGATCGAACTGGCTTTGGTAAAAGGTTAACAACCCGATAAATTCAATCAGTCAGCTACAATATAGGACCAGGCACATATATGCGTCAGTCCAAGTTGCCACACCTCATTAGCACAACAAGATGAGCACTGGATTCATAGAAGTAGTTAATTTAATGGTGGTAAATTACTGATAAAGATTAACTTGTGCTGGCTTATGACCAGTCTCTACTGAATAGGCTAGTATTTAGCTGTTCACTGCCTTAAGTACAGCTCTGCTTCGCCACACTGGGAGGAGTCCACTAGCACGAAGATGTAAATTCTTAAAACCTCAACCAATATAACTTGCTCCACAAGAGCAGTTGAATCGTTACATACAAACGATGTGGCCAATCCACGTAATTCATCTTTTAACTTCAGTGTCACCATCGGGCAGTGCTTAATGTTCTTTGGATTGTTCTACGTAATCTCTAGGTTAGTATTTCACTGGTCGCATCACCTCTGAATGGTAGGGACATGAACACGAATTTCTTATTTCCCGTTTGTATTTCGCTTATTCTAACCTATGTGGTCATATATTTGTTGGTAAAATTTCCAGGTTATCCGTTTTCCCCAAGGGTATTACAAAAGACGTTTGGTTTTTCTTTAACTAGATCAGTAGAGCATATAGGACGTATTCGGTAACTATGGGTTTTAAAAAATTTTTTGTTCATATATGAATGTCTTAATGTGACAGGGATTCCTAAAGAGCCTAAATTATTATTAATCGCATAGATAGATAATTACACAAGTCGTTAAAACAATTTCGTTATCCATCAATCATGGTTGTATATGTGTGGAGTTTTTCTGTTTCATCAACCTCATAATCACGTATAATCATGTTACTTTTTTATATTATGTTATAGCAATCTGGCAATTCAATAAATCGCGGACGCTACAAGGTTGTTTAATTTATCATTTTAGTATTTCCATTTGAATTGTTGTACATATTCTGACAGTAATGATATCTACATTAGCAATCGCGATTTATTCTTATAAATAAATGCTGTCTTGTCATATACATCTTTGTAGTTTTATTGATATTTAAGTCGGAATTCAGACAATAATGTATTGTTTTATTTATTACATCTCTTACAACTTATTTTATGTCTAAGGATTGTTAATTACCTCAACTCTCCTTTCAGTTTCACTAACAATGCGTGATTGGTTGTTAGTCAAACTTCTGTTAAATATTCTATTCTATGTTTAAGTAATATGGTTCGTCAGAAATTAGGGTTTTCGTCCGATGATCATTTAACTGATTCTATCACTGAAAGGTTTATATAAATATCTCATCTTATATGGATCCCCGTAACAATTGTAGATATACAGATACAATTGTTTCGACGCTACTCTTAAATTAGTCACTTTCAGGTTTTCAATGGTGGTCAAGCTTAAATTGACTCGTGCATTCAACTGTTAAAATTACTACAATCTCCACAAATCCCCATACTGATATTGATCATCTGCCCACTATTGACTAGCTTCAAGATGGGATATCCAGGAGATCTAGTGAGAAGCCGTGACCAGTAGAATTAAAACTTCCTCGAGTGTGAGAAAGTTATCCACCTCAGATAATAGATGGAGGGTTGCTCAAGATCATGGATCAATTGAAGTCAGACACTAACACTGTCGTATACCGGCTCAATGGTCTTAAGGTTAAGCGTCCACGCACGAGGCCGAAGGTCTCGGGTCCGAGTTCGACGTGCGGGATCATGGGTGCACACTGCTGAAGAGGAGTACCATACTAGGATGAAACGGACATCCGATGCTTTTAGGTTTTCAATGGTGGTCTAGTTTATATCGACTCTTTAATACAGCTCTGAAAGTACTTTCACAATTGTGGAAAAATATCCTGTAGGTCAGTACATCAGCTCACTTCTCGTGAAACGAATATCAGAAGTCTTGTTTACGTTTAATTAATGAGTGACACACTCATAGGATTTATACTTGTCTAGGAAGTGTAGACAAACCTTGATATGATAATGAAGAACAGCACTGCCCAACTTATGGAACTAATGATGGTTTCTCTTGATTTAAAAGCAGCACTCTGTAGACCGAGAGGTTCTGTGTCAGTGTGGCGAACTGTCATCTGATTTTGTAATTTCAAGGTGTCCGGCAAAGCTGCCCACTCGCCATTTCAGTTCAATTTCTTCATTGCCCTACTACTGGAAATAACGTTCTCGTCGTCTGAATTTTCGGGAATTGATCTCTTACCAGCACGTTCACTTATCGATTTAGAATATACAGATGATATAGTCCTGTTTGGTGAAGACGCTGATAAAATGCAGTCTTCTGGTAGCACTAAACAACAATACCAGAATGTTTGGGATGCGCTTCTCTCCATCTAAATGCAAATTGTTGCTTTAAGACTGGCCTGCGTCAACGCCTGAACTAAAGATAGGGAGTGAAGCAGTCTAACGTGTCGATAACTTCAATTATCTTGGAAGTCTGATCAGCCCTAATGGGTTAGTGTCTGACAAAATCTCAGCACGGATTCAGAAAGTTCGTTTGCCTTTCGCCAACTTACGTCACCTATGGCGAAGGCGAGATATCTGTCTGTCAATTAAAGGACGAGTATACTGCGTAGTAGTTCGTTGTGTTTACTTTACGGCTGGGAAAGGTGGTCATTAGGAGGTGTTTATCTTATTATGTTATTAAGATATGGCAACTTGAACCTATGCATATATTTGTCTGTTCCTACGGTGTAGCTGGCTGACTGATTGAGAACCAGCATGAGTAGTAGAAAAAAGTATGAACAGACTGGTGTACGTACGGTCAATGATAAGTCACCGAGTGTTAGACCAGTCAACAATCAAGGTGGATATTAGACACAGTACGCTGCAGATTGCTGAACGTTAGACAGCTGTCGAAACACCATTTAGATCAACCCTGACTGGTCACTTGCACACTGTAGTCTGGCGCATGCGCTAGCGATTGTACTACGTACTTCTGCAGCTTTTCCGTATAATAAATTTCGTTGGTGAGACCATGCTCGTTCCACGCAGCCAACAAGTAGGTAAAAAGCCTTGATATCATAACAAGATGGAACAGGTTGGTCCTCAACCGTGAAGTGTGACTCCGATACAATTCACACCACAAGATTTCTGTCCAACTGGAGTAGATTCGTCACTCTCATGTGTGATATACGTGTATGAATCGGACAAATATGAATCCAGATAACATTTAGCACAACGTGACATACTATTATGTATAAATCCATTTATCTAATTGGAGAATAACTTATATCTCAGGAACAAAATGCACTGTGAATATTGCTCTGGATAGTGGACACGTCTGCCCAATTTAGTTGCTTCACGGAGGTTTGTGGCTAATGCATTGCCTACTGTCAATTCCTCTATTGTTGTAAGGTCCTTTTGAAGGTGAACCTTCAGATTCCATCGTCTGTATTGATCAGTCCCACTGAGCTAAGCTTTTGTAGCAGTTAGATTGGGAACAGAAGTAGACCCAAGTCTATTCCTCATGAAACTCCTGATGTTGCTTTTTATTGCTATTATTATTATCTTTATTATATTTTTTGGTACAATATAGAATTCTTAGTGCAAAGTATTTCAACAGGTTTCTGTTTCTTATTTCTTGATCGATCGTGACGATAAATATTGAGTGATCGCCAATTAGATGTCAGCAGTTCAGGAATCGACATCCGAATAATGTACATTCTTTTCGATGTACATTGCCAGCAACCACAACGACTTTGATTGTGCCCTTTTCTAACTTGTACAGCGAAAGGTCGTGAACTTTTCACAAGCACAGCTGGTTACGTTGTGCACTTGATTGATATAGTGCTCTGTGGAAACAAACAAAAAATAGATAACTTGTTGAAATATCTAGATGGCAAGATCTGGTAGCCCAGATATTCAAGCAGGCCTTCCATACGTTCAGACCTTCCAACTTCCGTGGCCTTTTCTTACCTTGGTGCGAAACAATCTGTTATCTATGTAGCTTTGGGGCTAGGATGAGTGTGTCATTGAAACATATCGTTACAACCTTCTCTATGAAAAGTATATTGTACTGTGGCAAAGGCTTTTTAATATCGTGGAATATTAAATTGACCGGAATCTTATGTTCACAGGAAGTTGTCCAACTATCCCATGCTATAAGGAAATTGGATACACAGAGCCTGTTTTTCCTGATCCCGTTCTGGGCTTCATAGAGCATGTTGTTTTGATCCATGTATCCTCTCGTTTGTTCATTGATCAGTCCTTTCATTACCTGCGACAGTGTTGGCAGTAATGGGGTTGATCGGCAACAGGCTGGGTCTTTTCTATCTCCTTTGACTCTTGAAGTGACCTGCCCCCACCCTCTTGGCACTTAGTGTGGATCTAGTGAGTGCCTGAATAGGTCACACCGGTATGCTAATGGCTTCTGTGCACTGTTTCAGGATAACATGCCGGATGTTATTACTTCCTAGTGACTGTCCTTGGCGCAGGGGTTTCTGTTTATTTGATACTAACCCATAAGTTGTTGGTTGTCTTCGGCAACCTGGATTTTAAAATTGCTCTCTTCTGGCAGTATTTTAAAAGCACTTTGCGCTTAGAAGGTGCAAAGCACATACCATACCAACGGGCATTAATTGCTAACTGTTTAAGTACGAATTGCATGGCCTGGGTATTATCGCGCGGTAAGACAATATCATCCGCATACTCAAGGTCGAGAATTCTTTCTTCAGGGAACAGATCCACATCGCCATTACTTACATCCATCAGAGCTGTTTCTAGAATGTCATCGATGGCAAAGTTGAAGAAGAATGGTGAGATTGGGCAACCCTGTCTAACCCCACTGCTTGGATGGAACAATGGAGAAAGGTTGTTGTATCTCCTTATTCTGCTTTAGGTATTTGTATATAGAGCCTTCCAGATGTTAATAAGCTTCTCAGGCACACGCCTCTTCAACAGACAGTCCCAGAGAACAGTCTTGTTCAACGAATTGAAGGAGGCCCTGATGTCAAGAAACACTACAATTGTTGGCCTGTATGACGGTGTTCTAACATTTGGCAGAGGGTGAAGATATGATCAATACATCCTCGACCAGAACGAAAACCAGCCTGCTTCCCGCAACCAATTTCCCACGGGTTCTGAACAATCTACGAAGTATGACGGAAGCCAATAGTTTGGACGCAGTCGGAAGTAGACTTATCTCCCGATAGTTTCTGCATAGGTGACGTGAATCCTTTTGAAAGATAGGGACAACTATCGACCAGGCCAGTTGAACTGCTCCTCGAAGAATTCTGCCCATCGTCCTAGACGTCGATGGATGTTAGTGATTGGCATCCCGTCATCCTCACAGATTGTTTCACTCACACCAGACTTCTTGCTACCAGTGGCTCGGGTGAGTTGGAAGAGCCACCTAAACGATTCTCCTCTGTGCCTAGACGCCCTACCTGAGCATTCAAGTCTCCGGCTAGTACTACAATATCTGTCGAACGCACTTTCTGGAGAAGAACTGATAACTGGTGGTAAAACTCATCCTTGATTGCATCCGGGCTGCAATCTGTCGGGGCATAGGCGGAGATGACGAAAAGACATTGTTTCTCACGCCGATTTCTTCTCACTTTAATGGAACTTTCTAACCAAACAGCACATAACCGACTGTTAATAGAATCCAATCGATTAGTGCTGCCTCAGCTCTAGCGCTCAGTGCGACATCTACGCCAGCAAGACCAGACGAAGATGCTACAGGGTCCCCGGATAAACGCACGTAAAAAAGCCTTTTGAAGCGACAGATAGAGAGTGAATTTGTAGTACTTCACCAGAGTCTTGAATACGGGTCTCGGATAGACAGCAAACATCGATATTAAGACTTTCTAAAGACATACCCAGCCCTATCTGTTTTCCGACCTGCATAAGTGTGCGAATGTTGAAGGCAGCCAGTTTGATTGGTA